GAGATAATATTGCTGGATCCGTCTACCTGTGAAGGTAATTGCTTCTATCTGAACTAAAATAGGCTTCTTTCCTAGGCTTACTTTCCAGGTTGGAAATGTATTCAGTAATGACTACACTGTTGCGGAGAGAGCTGGCAGTATTTTTCACCTCTGTATGCCTTGTTTGTGAAGGATGTTGTGCACACTGGCATCTTTCACACTGTCATTAAGCTGTCTTGTTATCTGGTCTGCAGTAGCTCATTTTTTGCCCGCTTGGAGGCAATGGAAACACACTGTGAGCACAAAACTGACACATTATCACCTTTTAAGTTGACATGACAAAGTAGTTAGCAAACAGTGACATATTTACATGTACAACAGATACAAAGCATAATTAGCTCTCATTTGGAGTCATGTTTCTGACTCTTCACACTCTTTCAGCTCTGGATTGGTCTCCACCAACTCCTGAGAAAAAATCTCCTTCAGTTTAGCTGCTAAATGCTTATAAACGATGCTATGAGAGTGGCAAGAGTGAACCAGAACAGTAAAGTCACAGGCTGTCTTTTTCCCCCTGTATTATCACAAATACGCACTGTGTGGCTACACAGTACATCCTTTACACACTTACTTTGTATAATGTAAATTATAAATTTAGATCATAAAGATTGAAATCAGCTTCTCTTACACAAATATAAATATGCTCTAAATGAGCTTAAGTAGGTCTACCCCCACTACATCTCTGTGGCTATGGCTCTGTAAAGCTGGAATATCTTAGGCATGCAATTCTAACAGTGCATGCACCTTTATGTCTTTGTAAAGCATTGTGTAAGCAACGGTTGGCGTGGAAGTTAATTAACTTATATTCTGAGGGTTTTTGAACATTAAGAGCATGTTGAGACAGTGTCAGCCTGCAGATTTAGGTTAGTCAGAAGTGCATGTTCTCTCATGTTACATATCTGCGTTAAGGTATGTGGGTGCACAGTGCTTTGCATAATACACCAACCTGAGGCAGTATAAGCACATAATTACATACAGACATGAGTACAAGCAGTCAAAATGATGCCAACGATGGGACTCCAGGTTTCAGTGCCACACTAAGGAAGGAGGAGGCCACATAAACTGTAATCTTAGATTTTTTTTGTCCTACATAACCAAGTTGTCATTTTTAATTTGTGCAAATGTGATCAGGGTGAGTAATCAAATCAGTGCACCCAAACAGTATGAATAATACCCTGAATAATATTCACGCAGAACAGAACAGATTGTATTAGCCCGACTAGACTTCGTGGGCTCCCTCTGTGCTCCTTGCATGAGACCCCATTACAGTGGTTATATTTAGGGCAGTGAAGACTGTTTGTGTCTGTTATTTTAGCTCTAGGGCCCACAGTGACGGTCGATGAGCAAGATAAACATGCATGAGCCGTCTTTGTTCAGCGGTGCAGAGAAATCAACATGATCTTCGCTGACATGGATATAAAACGCGCTGGTCTACGGGCAGTTTAGTGTGTCCCTCTCCTTTCTCAGTGACCCCCCCCCCCCACCCCCCCCCATGCATTCGTCTGCTGAATGCGCCTAGAGAACGCACCACCATATG